TCCTCCCCCAACTCAATTTGATAATAACCCGACATAAGATCTAAAGTGGTGAAAAACTTTTTCCCCGAAAGCGTAGCTAACACTCCATCCACTGTAGGCATCAACCATGGTTGCTTTTCTGTAACAGCGTTGAGCTCGCGGAAGTCAACACATAACCTCTCTTCTCCATTCTGTTTACGCACCAAAAAATGGGTGACGCATACAGTGAATCCGACTTTCGTATTATTCCCAATTGTAGCAGCTTATCGACTATCTCCTCCACAATGCGTTGCTTCGGGATAGGTATATTATACGGTTTCTTTGCAATTGGTTTGTCCGAAGTGACCTTTATTTCCATATTAAATCGTTTTGATTTACCTAACTCAGGAAGCCTTTCCCCAAAACACTCTGCGTAAGAATTAATCAAATCAATAAGACCCTCTTGGATACTTAGCGGTAGATTATTGCCCATGTCCAGCGCTTCGCCACCAATCCTCATTATCTTACACGAATTACCCTCAATGATAACCTTGCCTTTAGACAACAAATCGATTCCTACAATTGCTTCGTATACCATTGCTGCATCATCCACGACTAACATTTCAACGAATCTTGTAACTTCATCAATCTTAAGTTTTGCTATTAGTTTTTCACGACAAACGGTTTCCCCACCCGAAAATCCAAACAACTTCTCCTCGCAAGCATCAAAACTTTCCCCAGTTCGTAGTGCAATTGATCGTTTGGTCAACGACCTGCAACTGCCAGAATCAATAAGCGCATTACACTGTATTTCGTTCTTGCCGATTAAAGTTTACCTTTACAAAGCTCTTTGCACACACTTCGCGTAGAAACTTTGTTCACTAGTGTGTCAGCTTCCTCTACTTCACCCTCAGACTCATTACTATTTTGATTTGTTCTCTGACGCTGCTTAAATTCAGTTATTTTGCGTGGCTTACTGCAATTCCTCGAAATGTGCCCCCTTTCTCTGCAATTAAAGCAAATAGGACCAGTTGCGTTATTTTTTACATCATTCGTGTAGCTATTTTGTACCACTGGTCTTTCAACTTTCTTTAAAAATTCATTTTGTTTACATTGAATCGTATTGTTCCCGTGTATATTAATCAACGACTGCAACAAATCAGCACATTTCGAGAAATGCATTGCGCTCAACGTTTTTGAATTGATGAGTATGCATTGTCACATGGATTAAACTCTGGCAATACTACCCGGTATGTATCTTGCTCTCACGTACATTGTCTCGTGCAACGACACTGGATGAATGTTTGTTGTGAAATCATTCGGCTGCGACCCGAACACTCTGCTCGGTGATGATGACGTGGCATTCATTTCAGTTGTCTGCTGCTGCGTATAAAGTGGAACGTTCGCTTGCGTCGATGAGAACGTTGGCCACTGCGTTTGCGTCGACGGCGGCGCACATATTTGCGTTGAAATCGGCTGTGAACCATAAGCTGTATTGTTTAGCCAAGGCGTTGTAGAGACTGGAAACGTTGACCATTGCGTTCGCGTCGACGGCGGCGCACATATTTGCGTTGAAATCGGCTGTGAACCATAAGGTGTATTGTTTAACCAAGGCGTTGTAGAAAATGGAAACGTTGGCGGCGCCTGCGCTAACGTCATAGCATCCAACTGTCCATACGATGATGCGGCAAGTGGTGTACTCGACAGCAACTGCGTGTCTGCTTGCTGTATGTTTGTCTGCTTAAACGATAAAGTATTTTGCGACGACGAACTGCTCTGCCCAAAACTACTTTGCATGCCCATCGTGGCCACCAGAGCGTTCGGCATCGATGAACGAAGAGTCTGCAGCTGTGCCGTCAATAGCTCTACGGCACCACTCAGGCAACTCACCTGTTCCTCCAACTGCTTCCTGACTTCCGAATCGTTACTCGCTGATGCATCGCTCCTTTCTTGACCAGCACCATCGATGGGGGCAGCTCCTAGCGTCGTCATTACTTCCTCAATATTTTTGCTTACCACCTCCTCGTCCAGTTGCTGTAATCTGCTAATTAGCTCCGCCTTGTTTCCGCTCGTCTTTCGCTCCAACTTTTGCAGCACACTTTTAAGCTGCATTACTGTGAGGTCGTTTAGGTTCATGACCACTTCTGATAATCTGTCACTCAAAGACAGATTTTAACAAGATGACCGTTGGTTATTTATAAATTTAATAAATATACCCTAAATAATTTTACAGAGTTTATAAAATAGCGTTTTGCTTGTAACCAATTGTGGCAAAAACGACTTCTTACAGGTCTATTCTGCACGTTACCGAAGACTTTGTAACCGGAAAATTGTATTACCAAAAAATGTTACCAGTTCTTGTCACCGCGGTTCTAGGTACGTTGGTAATGCAGTTAAAATATCCAGCAATTCAGCTGTGAAGAAGTGTGCAAATCCTGGCATTGCATATTTCATGGGGCAATAATTTGTTACCAGTTTATGAGCTGGTAACAAAATTTACCGGTTACAAGAGTACACAGAATGCGAAAAGGGCTTAAAAATTTACAGGAACTTTATTTATCGGTTACAAGCTTTTTATTACCAGCGCAGAATAGACCTGTTAGAAAACTAACAAATGAATGAATGAACACAGAGTAAAGTCAAAAGATGAATGCTCGAAATAGCGATGGCAATCATCACTGGTGACTGTAATGTCAAAAACTGTAAACAAAGAAATTAACCCTTTGTTATGCATTTGCCATATTTGATAAAATTCAATATCTTTGAAATGAAAGTTTTTGTAAATATGAAAGTATTTAAAATCTCATCAGAATCAGCTTCATTTAAAGTTATTGCATTGCATTTTCGTTTTAATGTAAATGTGGAAATGCATACTTACACAAAATTACACATCAGCAGGTCTATTCTGCGCTGGTAATAAAAAGTTTGTAACCGGTAAATAAAGTTCCTGTGAATTTTTAAACCCTTTTCGCATTCTGTGTACTCTTGTAACCGGTAAATTTTGTTACCATCCCATAAGCTGGTAACAAATTATTGCCCCGTGAAATATGCAATGCCGGGATTTGCACAATTCTTCATAGATGAATTGCTGAATATTTTAACTGCATTACCAACGTATCTAGAATCGCGGTGACAAGAACTGGTAACATTTTTTGGTAATACAATTTTCCGGTTACAAAATCTTCGGTAACGTGCAGAATAGATCTGTAAATGAAACACACTTATTTATAAAGCGGTTTTGACAATTTTCTTGATTTTACTATCCCAATGTTTTTGAGCATTTATTTTTTATACAAATACTTGATTCTAAAGTATATAGGACATTAAAAAAAAGTTTGATTCTTCTAAATTTACATCAGAACTTAACTTCAATAGTTTAGCTATTAAATTTTTGCAATTTGAAATTGCCTTTCCATTACATTTATCAAAAATTACTTTCAGTTTCTTTATGTCAACAAGGAGTTCTGGTTAAGGTTTTATCAGACCACCATTTGAGATTTAGTTTATCCATGTATATGAGTGGGAGATTTTCTTTTCATATTCGGTATGATAAATCCTGCACCTGTGAACAAACGCGCCCGCTTAGAAATACTCAGCTGCGATGGGCAACAAATAAAGTCACGCGCACACGTGAAGAGTCTCCCAATGAAACATCGCAGCAATTTTCCCACTGTTGTCGCTTCACTTGACAATAACGCACAAGTTTGTTGTCCTGGCTCTTGGCAAACACAACGCACCGCCCGTAATTCCTTTTCATTTTATTTTGTATTTAAAATCAGTCGCACAGCTCACACTTGAAAATTTAAACTAAAAGAGAATACAATTTTGAATAGTATAGGGTTAAGAGTTGACATTTCAGTCGCAGTTCAAAAGAGAGAAATGTCAAAATCACTTCTACCTTGTTATGCCTTGCAGAATAGGGTTGAATACATGGTACAATAATACAACAGGTATTGTCTTCACATCGAAATTCGTGCTCCCTTTTATTTGGCTTTGCTTTTTGTTTTCGCTCAATTTCATTTTTATAATTTTTCTAGACAAAAGAAAAAACGTTTGAAATGAAGTGAGCCATACAAATTTTGAGTTTATTTGCTTTAAATGTTTTTTTTTCGTCTTTTGCAATTTTAATAAGTCCTCTACAAGGAGGTTGGTTTAAAAAAATACGTGTACATTAGAGTGGTCCAAAAAAATAAAGTCTGAGTTTTAATGCCGGCACACCCTAGGATTGATCGATATCGAAAAAAATATACCCCAATATTTTTATTTTGAAAATCAAAAAATATTTAGTTAGTGCTCAAAGCGCTCAAAGTTTTCCATGTATTTTATATAGAGAAAAAACATCTTTTCGTAGAAATAGTGTAGGATTCTTGAAAATCAATATTTTTCGACCGGAAAACTTTACTTATCTTCAGGAGACTCCCAGTAATAATACTCAATTGTTTTTTTTAACAATTTTTTCATGGTAACTATATTTTATAGGTCCTCCAAAACCCCTAGAAAATGCAATGGGGGACCATTAAAAAATCTTGTATCATAAAAAATGGTTAAATAAACAATTGGATATTAATACTGGAAGTCTCCTGAAGGAAACCACAGTTTTCTGGTCGAAAAATATTGATTTTCAAGAGATTTATACCATTTCTAGGAAAATTTGTTTTTTCTCCATATAAAATACATGGAAAACTTTGTGCGCTTTGAGCACTCCCTAAATGTTTTTTTATTTCAAAATAAAAAAATATGGGTATATTTTTTTCGGTATATAACAATCCTAGGAGGTGGCGGCATTAAAAATCCGACCTTATTTTTTTACATACATTTTTGGACCACTTTAGTATACATACATGGTATATGGGGTATGAAAATATCTCTTTTCCCTAGCAGTAAACCTTTTAGTGTGGGCAACAATGATCAAATGAGGCAGATCGGAATATGTGCTCTCTGGGAAGATAATACCTGCAATTATTGTACCATGGGTTGTATATCTATTTCAATTTCATTGGCATTGCCCATGTTTTTGTAATTAATTTTTTCTTCGATTTCAGATTTGGCGTTCTCGGGCTAAAGCAAAGGAATACAAGATCCAATCAACGAATGCGAACGAAGCCGTGGAGCTTAAGAAATATTTCAACTAGCACACAATTCATATGTATACATACATACTAAAGGTCTGCATCGGAATTAAATTTGCTTCACTGTGAAGTTTTCTTCAAATATGTAAGCTACTCATACTCTAGCCGGAAGGGCATGAAAGGAAGTGAAGATGTTGAACGATGTATACATAAAAAAAAGTACTCAAACAAAATATGTTTCGAAAAAAAAGAATATAAATAAGCAGTACCATGCTGTTAAAATTCCCCAAAAAACATGTTCCTTCACAAGTATTTTTTGAGTATTTTTGGAAGTTTTTGTTTAATACTACATAACGTTAATGTTAGAGCTGACTCTTATATTAAATAACAAACATGGAGAATTGTAGGGGAGCCCAAGAGGGGATTCGGGGATTTACTCGAGCGCGTCAGATCAGCATATGGGGAGTACCCTGCATCCTGTTGAGTACCTCTGCCAAATCTAACCCATCATTGTAAAGCCGCGCGCATAGAAGAGCTGATCAGAATAGTAAAAAAAAATTGATAGGTGGATTTACTCGAACGCGTCAGATTAAGAAATGGTGGGTTAATTACATGCTGAAAAGTGTGCATTACAATAATCTGACGATTTGAGCGTGACGCAAGGGATTGGGAGGGTCGCAAACTTGCAAAAAAAACGTTACGTGGACATTCTCCAGCGCGGTAAATTTTTTTTTTTATTATGAAGCAAACAGCTGAAGGATAACGGGAAGTAAATAATCTGACGAGTTCAACATGCCGGAGTAACGAAAATCGTCAACAAAGGTTAGCGCGGGCACTTGCTGTTTTTTTAAACTACTACATATTTTTCTAGAAATTTATTATTTTTTGATTTGTTTGCTGTTTTTCGTTCATATTATTTGTCACAATCATATGACTGTAAGTATACCCATTTGGTCCGCAAATCATACCAGTTGCGAGTGAAAGGTGAGAATTAATCCAAACAAACTCTCACTAAAGGCTCGTGTGTTGCTCCGCTGTATATGTACTAGAGATGCAAATCCCGGGATCCCGGTGTTTTTGACGTCCCGGAAATCCCGGGATTAATGCAAGCAAATCCCGAAAATTTTGAAATATCGAATTGATAGTAAGAATTTGTTTATGCATTTTGAAGTATGATTTTTGTAAAATGCCGTTTTGACTGCAATTAACAAAAAGCTTGAAACTGTACTTTTAAATTGCAGTCTGAGCCTTTTTTGAAGAAGATTTCAATGAATTTACTCATAGTGTCGCTAATGTAAACGAAACAGAGAGTTTTAAGGAACAATTAGATAATTTTTTAGATCAATCTACTCAAAACTTCCTCAAATCGAAAAACTTATAATTTGACCGACGTGCTGGTAAAAGAAGTTCTAATATTTTGTAATGGATTATGTCTACCTTTTGACAGTTCAGCCTAAAAGTGTTGATGCCGAAATATGTTTTTCATCAGTAGGTTTTGTATGTAAAAAATTTCAAAATTTCTAGTAAATTGCGAAAAAAATTTCTCTATTCGCCATTTCTTTATAGAGTAGAATAAACATGTTTAGAGAAATTGTTTTTGTAGATTTTTGTTTTCTGATTTTTTTTATTAATCGTCACTTTCAAAAGCACCTGGTATTTACATTATTATTTGTGATGTATACGTTCCTCAATCACATGGTTTTTTAAATACAATTAAAAAAATGTTTTACTTTAAAATTTGTCTGATTTAATAAATATCGCTAGCGTAGAGTGCAAAGTTGCCAAGTCCCAATTTGAAAATTGTACAGGAGAGGAAAAAACTTCGTATAGCCATTTTCTTCAAGTATTTCGCAAAACTTTGAATACAACATTTTACCTGTTTAAAGCAAAGCAAAACTCCATACGAATCGGAGGGATTCGATATTTATTAAAAGATTTCGAAGTTTTTTGGCCTTAGCAAATTTTCCTTTCATTGAATATAAACGAGAAAACATAAAACAAGGACCTTTTCCCTTTTCGAAACGATGCAATTTTAATTTATCTAGCCTATCTATGATTTTTCATTAAAAGTGAAGTTAGCAACTTTTCACTCTAATATAGTGATATATGAATTTTACAATCAGTTTATCGTAAATTTTAAATAGTTTTATTTAATGGTATATTTAAATGCTTTCAGATATTGAATTTTGACGCATATTCATAAAATTTATGACTCAATTTGAATCCCGGGATAAATCCCGGGATCCCGGGATTACCTAAAAAATATACCCAAATCCCGG